AAGACTTGTGTCGCTAAAGTTTCATCGGAACGAAGTTACGGAAAGTTAATTAACAAACGGAGACGTAACAGTATATATGCAAAATAAGAGGCTCTTTTGCATGATGGGGTCCCAGATTATTTACAGCATAACTTTAAACTCAAAGTTAAAACTTAGTAGGTTAAAATTTAAGCTTCAAATGTTTACAAAATGACAAGAAAGAATATTGCGCCTATGTCTGTATAAGCTTAAACAATACGATCACTATTAATACACTATCATTTAAACATACACAAACCTTCCTACTATCAGTTAAAATATCATAAACAGGCTCAAACTCAAAATTCAAATTGACGCGGTTTCAGATGTACCATAAAGGAACACGACAGTCTTCAAACGTTAACTGTAGTAGGAAACAATCATAAAATCAGGAGTTAATTGAATTATAACACATTAAACATTTCAGTCCAAAACTTCAGCAACTACGATTCATCACAGCTACACATTACACTTACTGGCGACAAGATTCCGGTAAACTTCATATATTTATTTGTTGAATTTATAATACTCTCAATGCCACTGTTTATTTTGTAAAACACAGTAAAAAGTTAGGGAAACGAAGACACTCATCACCTAATTAAAGTTTAAGTTAGGAAATTACGTATACACAAATATATAGATGTATATAATCTGATTAATTACAATTTGAAAGTAACCAAAAATTAAAAGCTCACTTACACAACAAATCCGGCAGGCAAACTTGTATGATAAATCACTAGGGAAAGAGCCAGAGAGACCGCGCCTCTTCCTGTTCAAGTTTGTGTTGCTATGGAAACTGGTCTCGTGTAGATCCTATCTCGTGCAGGCTGGAAGTCTATGTTTCCTAGTGTATCTGGTTCACTAGATACAGACAGCTATGGTATCGTAAAGTGTATCTGCTAACTGGGGTCACTTTCAGTTTTGTTGAAAACAGCAGTCGGTTGAGACATCGTGTTGGTGCTCAGGAATGGTTTTAATGAGAGTGGGCCATCCCGCTGATGGCATTATCAAATTCTCACTGACCGATAAACAAGTTTTGTACTCTTGATGTCACCAAGAGATGGCTGTTCCGTTCCACTGATGACGTTATCAAGCTCCCTTCAACCAACAGACAAGTAACGCATACTAGAGGTCACTGAAAGTGGGCCGTTCTACTGATGACGTTATCAAGCTCACATCAACCAACAGACAAATAACGCATACTAGAGGTCACTGAAAGTGGGCCGTTCTATGACGTTATCAAGCTCCCATCAACCAACAGACAAATAATGTATGCTAGAAGTCACTGAAAGTTGGCCGTTCTGCTGATGACGTTATCAAGCTCCCATAAACCAACAGACAAATAATGTATGCTAGAAGTCACTGAAAGTTGGCCGTTCTGCTGATGACGTTATCAAGCTCCCATCAACCAACAGACAAATAATGTATGCTAGAAGTCACTCAAAGGTGGCCGTTCTGCTGATGACGTTATCAAGCTCCCATCAACCAACAGACAAATAATGTACTTCTGAGGTGCTCACTGCATCACTCCATGTATAGGAATTACTTTATCCTTACTATTTGCGGATCGTTTCGGTTCTGGCACCAAATTCTATTCCTCCCTAAATGTCATTCCTGTTCTGCCTAGCTTCCTGTAAATGATTTTTGGACTAACATTATTCAATCAGACTTTTGCTTGGAAAGAGACATGTCGTAAATAGTACTTCATGTTATACGAATAACTTGTTGTTGCTTAGCTTAACAGTAAACAAGGCACGCAATGATATCAATAGCGTGTGACTTGTAAGTGTTAAGTCCATGAAAATTCCCTTGTAACACTTGGTTTACGAAAATAAAATAACCAACATTATATTTAATTATTTCCTTGTATGGCAGTTATTGGCTTTACAGAGATGGTAAGACATTTCCAATGCAAAATATGGGCTACTAACATAACTAACAATGCTATTCGAAGTTTTAAACATAACAATTGTTTTTTGTTTGCTCCACTTAGTAAAAATTGAAATGGCTGCCAAATTCAAATAATTAGTCCAATTTGACCTCTGATTATTGCTTACATGAATATTTTAAACTCGATCTTTGGGGGTCCATCTGAGCTCTTCTACCAATTTCATCGAAATTATCATTTTGTTTTATTCATTTTAATTTTGGCTCTATTTATTAACCTATCACATGTTACTTTATTTAATGATTTAAACATATCTCGATAAAAACATTACTTCTACGACAGTGCAGGAAGTAAAAAAAACTAGTGTTTGTGTGTGCTGTAAATTAGGTATATTCCATTCTCTGTTTAATGTTACTTTCATTAAAAGTATCGGATAGAGTGTTTAATTGATCAATTTTTATGGTGTTTATTTATTTTTTTATTTGGCCTGGTGTTTAGGGCGTTCGACAGGTAATCTGAATATCACGGCATGTGACAGTCAATCCAATTATTCGTTGATAAAGAAAGAGTAGTTTAAGAGTTGGCGGTGGGTGATGTTGACCAGCTGCTTTCCTTTAGTTAATCACTTCAAAAATAGAAATAACTAGCGAAAATAGTCCTCGAGTAGTTTGGCACGAAAGTTCATCAAACAAAAAAATCTATTTTTATTATAAAGATTATTTTGCATTGTTGGACGAACCTCGTAACATATTAACGGGATTATGGCCAAAAATATCACTTATAGTGAGGGTAGTCAACTGATGAACCAATGAATTATAGCCTTTACAAGTAAGAACTACGAGACCAGTTTATTTAATTAGCAAGGATTGTTACTGAATCGATTTGTAGTTCTTTGTGAGTAGTTTGATTTAATCAGTTTGTATGGCGCCGGCATGGCCAGGTGGATAA